AGTTATTTTATAACGAATAGAATAAAATGTGTTCTTAGTTGCTATCAGGTTGACCCCAGCTTGTGTCTGTCCATGTGCGCAGAGTAGAATGCACCACCAGGGCTTCCCAGGTGGGACTTTTCAGAAACAAGTTGCCAGGCCTGGATTTCAAGATGCTGGTGGGTAGGTCAAAACACCGACCTTTCCACTAGTAACCAAGCACTTAACTGTTGCCACTACCCAGGGACTCAAAACAAAATAGGAGTTGTGTAAAATACACACACACACACACACACACACATATATATTTAAAGGTTTTAAAATCTGTACTGATTATTCTTAGTACCAAATGTAGTAATGGGACTCTGTGGATGATGCTTTTGTAGTTGACCTATGAAAGAGAAAACTTCTCAAACGTTAAATGTAAGTGAAGGAAAAAGACCAGTCGGGGACATAAAGGCAGAGAATGGGAACAACCAGGTGTGTGAGGGTGGAGTTGGTGCTATAGAGAGTGATTAAAATTGAATTCTATTATGCTGTGCTTCATATTTTCAGATATTGTTGAGGTCATGGATGAACACATCAAGAAAAGCAGAAGGCTGATTATCATTTTGGTCCGAGATACATTGGGATTCAGCTTCCTGGGGGATACCTCTGAAGAACAGATAGCTATGTATAACGCTCTCATTCACAACGGAATTAAAGTAATCCTGCTGGAGCTGGAGAAAATCCAAGACTACGAGAAAATGTCCGAATCAATTAAATTCATTAAGCAGAAACAGAAGACCATCAGATGGTCAGGGGACTTTACAGAGAAGTCACAGTCGGCTAAGACAAGGTTCTGGAAAAATGTAAGGTACTACATGCCAGCTCAAAAGAAGGCCCCTTCATCCTCACACCTCAGGTCTCGAGCCTTGAACTGGAACTCCACAGAATTATTTGAAAGAGAGGTCCATGTTCCGCTGGGGTAGCGTGGAGAAACTTGGGTCACGAGTTCTTTGGGTGGCTCATGTCTAAACGTACCCTAGGCTGGTCTGTGCTTCCTGTCCCAGAGAGGACCTGGGTCCTTTCCCCCACGCGGTTACCTAGAATCGGATGACTACAGAGCATGATGGGACATTGGCAGGCCAGGACAAGGAAAGGAGAGCGTTTGGGACCATCTTTTAAAAAGGCACGAGCTGATGTGACGGTTCGCTCAAAGCTTGAACTGTTGAGAAAAGGCCCTGGGACAGCACACGCATGAAGGGAACACGCAGTGAACTGTCATCATCGGAGAAGGTGTCCCAAGGGTTTGGATGTGGGGCCTTGCTGGGAACTGGGAGGCGTGCCCCACCCACTCCATCGAGCGACTGCCCCGGGCAGTGCTACAGGACTGTCTGGCTGATTTCACAGAGGAAGGCAGAATTATTTATTCTTGGTAAACTACATGTGCCTTGCATTTTCTATGCACACACACAGCTAGCAGTCATTTCCCACAGAATGCCATTTCATAGACCATTAAAACTGTCATTTCAATGGACAACAGGATGCTTCAGGATGCTCAGGTTTTGAAATAACCGTAGCTCTTTGAAGGAGAGAGTATTTTTAAAGCAATTGGCAACAGAGAGCTAATTTACCTCTTTATGTTTTCCTCCCTGGAATGAACACTTTGTTCCTCTCTATCTCCCTGCATGTATTGGACTCATTTCTTCTTTGAAAGGACAACTACTACGAGAACTGTTTCGTCCCTGCACGCTCTGTCACACACAGCCCACAGATCAACCACCGATAAAACACGGCTTCCAGCTCATTATGCTCCGGCGAACACAAGCAAGCCAAAACAGGGCTCCTGGCTTATGAGCTCAGTTCCTCCCAGGAGCATTTCAACCCTCTCCTCCCACGGGCCGGCTCCTGAGTGTCCTCATGGCTTCCCTTCACGCTCTCAGTGAGCAAACTCCGAGCTCAGCCTACGACCCCTTCAGGCCTGGCATCTCCTCCATCTGCTCTCGCTCTGCCTTTCTGCCAGGTGTTTTCTGTCTAGAATGCCTTCCCTCATTTTCTCCAGCTCAGAATGTATGCCCAAGAGACTGTCCATGGGAGCCAGTGCTGAAATGCTCTTTCCTCTTGATCTGACTCTGCTTCCTGTTCCTGGTCACTTTCTGAGAAAGTGTACTCTTTCTACAGCCCGCAGCTGTGCCCTCTGGGGGCAAGGCTTTCTGTGAGTGCCTCTGACTCTGAGTGCCTTCCACAAGTCATTTGCACAGACTACGTTTATTTGCATAGTATTATATTTTTATAAGACCTCAGATTATATTACTTTTTGCAATTCTAATTTTGTAGAAAGAATATGTGACCTAGTTTTTTTGTTGATTTTTTTTTTTTAATAATGCACTTAGCACTACTGGGCTGAGGGCTGGGGCCTCAGTTTCTGGCCGATAACCCAGTGCTTTGAGTACTTGATGTTGGGTCCTTAGATGCCCCCACCTTGGATGGGCAATTGTGTGAGAAGAAATGATAATTCTGGAAAGAGGTAGCAACATTGAGGAGTACTTTTATTTAAGAAGCCTCATCCCACATCTTGAATATTGGCATTTTCGAAAATGATGCTTAGACTTTATGCATTTTTTTCCTATCCTCATACATTTTTTTTTACCCAAAAGTAAATACCCCTTAGTAAAATAAAAATGAAAACCATTTATTTATTTATTTATTTGATCAGACAGACTATAAAAACATATTTTACAAAATTGAAGATCAGTCCTCAGGGTTAGTAACTATCAGACCTGGAGAAGCAGCGCTCCGGGGTTTCTGTGCCAGGATCAGATGCACACGGGCATGCTTACAAAAGCGGTGTGAACCAGGCGGTGAAGTTGTCTGCTGTGCATATTCTTACTATCTGAGAGTAGATATTGATACCGCGGTTGCAACCCTGGACTCACAGAGAGCCACCACCACGGAGAGGATGGCACAGGCCTGGACAACGTCTCCATATGTTCTATGTGTTGTCACCATGAGTCGGGGTGGACTCAACAGAACCTAACAAGGACACTAAGAAATATCTAATGGTATGAGTGAACACAAAATTTTATTTGGAAGAAAATGATATCCTTTTTGTCCCCCTTCCAGAGCAGTCAGAGCTAGACAAACACACAGACTAGAATGTTCCGAATCTCTCCGTCTTCTCTTGGTTGCAGTTAGACAGCACTGGGTTGTGCTGCTGTGTTGGGGAGGTCTTTTTCAAAGGACGTGCCTTGTTTCCCTGTGGCAGCATCCACAGATGGCAGTCCAGTTGGAGAGAGTCAGGTTCCAGCAGTACCTTTAAGGTGCTGCAGATATAGAATGCAGCTGATGGCTTTGTGGGTGCCATTGAATAAGGTGCAATGGCGTGAATAGGAGCTAGAAAGCCGGTTCGTCATTCAGAACTAGAGAAAAAATTGGCCAGGAGGTAAGGGGCGGAAGTGGTGGTGGTGGTTGATGGGAAGCAACACGAGTTATAATTGGATTTCACCTGGAACTAAGGGAGGGACAAGAATCTACTGATCACTGTGGGTGGAGGAGGCTCCCAAACAGGAAATTGAAATGACACACCCTTAGGACAGGGAGGATTCCAGAGGAAGAATCTGCACACCCCAATCCAAATGAACTTCCTGTGACATTTTGTTTTCGCTAAAATCTCTTTCCGCTCTCCTTGTCAGTGAGGCTGTACTGCACTTTGTGAGAGCCATTTTCAAAATTCAGCTTTAAGTATTTTTTAGAAAGCTTGTCATTGCAACAGATTCTTTAATTACCAGTTGTTAGAACTGGTTTAGCATCGCTGATATTTTTCCTCCTATTTCATCATATCTTATATTTGCAACAAAAAGAAGGTATTGAGCCATTTTTAATGACATTTTGGATAAATTATGTTTGCACTGGTTCATGATGAAGGGTTTTGTTTGTTAGTTTTGTTTCTGTCTTTATTTTTAACATTTTGTATAATTCTGCAGCAAATGCCAAATAGTTTTCGATATTGAAACACCAGATTCGTGCACATCGTATATCATTCATCAATGTACTATACTTGTTTTCCAATAAAATTGCTGAAACCTAACAGTGAGTGATATTGTTAAATTAATCTCTGTCTTTTTAATGTGCAGTTTCCTTGCACATTCCCAGGGCCGAGCTAGTGGAGATGCGGGTGTCTTCAGAGAACTTCCATGGGCGAGTTCAGAGGCCTTTGGTGAAGTGACAATGAACTGTACCTCCCACTGAGCACCCTCAAATGGACTCTGTTTTAGCATGCTTCGAGAATGGATTAAAATGTTTTCCTATTACTATCTTATTTTCTTTTTCAAAAAAATTGATAAAGGCAGCTTGCAAAGACTTTTACATTTTATAAAAGGTTTCTATGTATTTTCTCTTTTGACCTGGTGGGGGAACAAAACTGGCAAACTGGGTAACCAAAGTGCATGCTCTTTTGAAGTTCACAGCTGCATTAGCAGGGCATCCTTTAGGGCCCACCCGGCCCACCCAGTCACTGGCTCCTTATGCTTATATTGCAGCATTTCTCATGAGCTGGTGGCTCTGTCAGGAACTGAGGAGAAGGGAGCGGATGTGGAGGTTTTGAATCCGAGAGATTGAAATCCTGCTTCCACCACCTACCTGGTGCCATGCTAGGACACATACCTTGGGCACCAGCGTTTTGTCTATAAATGGGTCTCATGCCTAATCAGAGGTTGTGTAAGAGTTAAAAAGGAATTCTTATGGTGCCCAGGGTAAGCGTTGGACTGCCATTTCAAGGTCAGTCGTTCAAGCCCATGAGCTGCTCTGTAGGAGAAAGTTGAGACTGTCTGCTCCTGTAATAATTTGCAGCCTTAGAAACCCTATAGAGAGGGCACTGTTGAATCAGAGTCTATTTGATGGCAGTGGGTTTGGATAAGGGTTAAAAAGGAGATTAAATATACTGTGACAAGCACAATACATAGCATATCGTTGTGACTGCTGTGTACTGTAGAGTTTATTTCCATTTATAATGACCTTGTGGGACCAAGTAGAACTGCCCCATACGTTTCCTACACTGTGTTTTTCATCTTCTTTCCCTCACTTCCATCAAGTCGATTCCTACTCATAGTGACACTTAAGGGCAGGCTAGAACTTCCCCTGTGGGTTTCGGAGACTGTCACTCTTGATGGCAGTGGACATTCTCATGTTCCTCCCACTCTGTAATCTTTATGGGAGCAAATCACCACCAGGTCTTTTCCCCCCAGAGTCCTGGGTG